CTTAAGTTCCCAATAAGTGCAAAAAAAAATCGTTTTTTGAAGTGCTACAGTTTATTTTTACTGAAACTGAGTTTTGAGAAAGTTGGGCACTAAATCACATTGAAGCATGGTTGGCTTGATTGACATTACCTATTTCTTCCTCGTGAAACAAGTGAAATGTTCCGCCATTTTTTACTCATTACCAAAACAACTCAACCTCGTCCTTTGTCTTTTTCCAGTTTTAAGAGGCGGTCTCCCTAAAAGCGTTCCACTCGATTTCGGACTAGAGAAAACTTTTGCCTTATATTTTTATCATCAACACTACTATCCATAGTAATAACGAAATTGCAGTTAGAATGAGGAAATTGATTATTTTACTGCCATTGCCAGCAATTCGTTGCTGGACGACCTTTAGCGGCTAAAATATGCAAATTTTAGATGCCGTTTTACAGGTTTTTTAACGATCGTTTAAAAGTACTTCGGGTCATCAAATCCTAGACTGTTCGCACTCATTTGGAAGCATATCACCTCTTCTTACTGTTCCAATACGATTTAGGCATTATCTTTCTCTAACCAGCAAAAACTAGTCGTCTTTATTTCACTAACCCACTTAAGAAAGCAAAATGCACGAATAAATGCCTCAAAATCATTACAAAATTCTCAAAAGTGGCACCTAAACAGGGGCACCCAACGAGAATATAGTTCAAAACCACTTAAACATAGCATTGTTAAACATATTTTAGTATTTAAACGGTAGATATAGGCATATTTTTATCCCCTAAAAATTTTTCATCTGTTCGGATTTCCTAGCTGAAAGTCTCGAGATCCGAAAATCATAGGGATCAAAACTTACCTTTTCGAAAATTTCAGCCAGAAAAAAGGCTCCCGAAAATTCTAGGTGAGCTTTTTAGGGTAAAAATCCGTTAAAAATGGGCAATTACACCAATTTTTAGATGTTCGAAAATCCTAGGAGAGGTAGGCAAGCAAGAAATTTTACAAAAAATGATCCGAAAATTCTAGATCTCAAATCGTCTTCCGAACAGATATTTTCCGAAAATTGACGTTGGGTGCCCCTGCCTAAACTGCCTAAAAACATTCGCATTGCGTGACACCGGCCGCTGTGATGGTGAAAAAATTCTTCATGATCCTACAAATGACAATTGTTCTGTTTTTTTTTTTTTTACTTTATCAACAAGAAAAATCGGAAATGGGTTAAGCTTATAGAAGATTAAGTTTACTTTTCCGCTGACCTTCGTATTAATAGTCTCGGCCGGCCGTCCTTTGCTCGACTCCCAGTAGTTGGCATTCTTGGTAGTAGAGTGGGTCGGGAAAAATACGCATTACTCCCTACCCCACCCCCTCGCCCTTTTCTTACTCGCATCTCTAGGAGGGTCGCCCCCACAGTCTGAACGCCTGGAAGAGGCTATTCGACATACTTCAATCGCGTTCTAAATGAACATTTTTGTTTTACAGATAACATTAACGAGAACCATGTTTCTCCTGTCTAGTGACAGGTGGAAGTATTTACATTTTGCAGCGATAAGGTCCTTCACACATTCACCTTTACACTATATATATGGGACGATTTTACTCGGTACTCCTGGAAGAAAAATTAAGAAAATATGGACTGGAGTTCAAAGAAGTAAAATCAACAACCCGCTAATCACGTCTACGCCACAATAAGTCTCGTTCTTGTAAATTCTTTTCAAGTAAATTGTTATTTGCCATTAAAAAAATGAAATCAGCTGTGAAATGTACATTGAATTAAGTTAGTGTCCGGATACCTTTAGGAATTTGATATTAGTATAAATTTTTAGATGTATAAATCTACCGGCCTTCGATCACAAATCTGATTGTCTATGTACAATGCTATTGCTATGCTGGTAATGCTGTACGCTATCAATTCTGTGATGGACAGTGAGTGAAGTGACTGCCTGCGCGTTACTGACGTTACCGGTAAACAATTATCTACACAGATGTAACTTACATTGTTTATTATATTCACGGCTTTACTCAAATATCATCAGGAGCTTGCAGGCTACGCCTGAACATAATTAATTATTGGCTGATAAACAACAACATAAGAATAACACCATCAAATTTACGCGAGAATGAAAGAGGACGGTGACATGACATCAAGTGACTGAAACAGCGAGGTTGAGCAAGGAATCCTGTAAAAACTAAAATTGCCGTACAGGCGGTAGTATATAAATGTTTACTACCCTTCATTTGTTTCTCATATAACTAACTACCTACTCGCCCACTAACTACTCACGCGATATTTCTCTTCTGCCTGATCCATCAGTTTTTGTCTCATACTTTTCTCCACAAATTTTCACTTTGCTTCAAGTTAAAATATTTCTACGCGAAAATTGAGCAGTAAAATTACTATGAGCTGCTCAATTTTAACGTCCAGCTGGTGAAGGCATCTTGGGCGCTATTTCCGAAATCATGTAAGTCTTGACCTCTTTGCAGACTTTGTACCTTTTTCAGAATAATCAAGACCTCTGTTTTCATCTGAACACACTTCGCGCCAATATTATCACCTTTAAAGTATGTGAATTGCGTTCGAATGAAATGCTGCAATAACAAAATGGAGCAAAAAAGACTGAGCTGTGCTAAATCGCTTTATTGAACTAAAAGTCGCGAGATTCTGCGTAAATTCTATTTTATGTATTTCCTTCGTCATTTACCTAGCTATCAAGTGTCGTAATCAAATCCTCATGATTCTATTTACCCACAACTTTGCCAATCACGATCAATAAAAACACAGCAAGTACGTATCGCATAACAGAAAGCTAACATTGTAAAAAGTAGTTTTCCGCGCCAGTTTTTTAGTTCTTTCCTGTAAGGTTCGCGGTTGGTTTTCTCAATAATCTTGGTCTTTATCTCTTGGTCGCACTCAATTCTCCGTCCGAAACAGTGAATTATCTCAGGAGTAGCTCAGTTGAGAGAGCCGAACCCAGCTACTTATAAACCCCAGCCCGCAATTTCAATTTCATCCAAAGCGATAGTCCTCTCGTTCACATCGGTATTTTCTCTTCGAATTTTGATTTCTTCTTTACGATTTTATAATTTACTTCAAGTAAAACTGAGGAATTTGCTTACAAGTCGGACTCCCCATGAAGGAAGTTCGTGAAGGTTTTGGCGATGGCGTCGTGTCTTGACCTTGCCGTTTAATTAGATCTCAATTTCTTCTTCTGAACACACAGCACCAACTGTCTTTAAACAGATCTAGATGTAATAGCATGAACTCTAGATGGANAATTTCTTCTTCTGAACACACAGCACCAACTGTCTTTAAACAGATCTAGATGTAATAGCATGAACTCTAGATGGATGTACTCTAAATTGGTTATTGCTTATAAATTAAATCGTGTGTGGTTCTGGGAAATCCTTATAGTCAACACAATTCCCCTCTACGAGGAATGCTGTTTCTTCTTCAATCAAAATCAATTGTTTCTCTTATAGCAGAATCGCGTTACTTGACTCCTAGGAAGGACCCGCTCTGAGCTTCGTTTTCTCTGACGACTTCCTCCAAGTGTTTAAAGGTTTGCTTTACATTTTTCTACTTTTATTTTTAGCCATTTATAGCTCTTTTGTTTTGAGTGCCGGAGTTGTTTTCAAGCTGTGTATTCGTGCGATCTTTTGCAAGAGAACTGCAAAAGGATTGGTACGGTTTTAATACTGATATGTCTGCAAATTATTAGAAGAAGCGGATCGTTAGCATGCGGAAGATAGTTTTTGGTTGTTTTACGGATTATAGTCTTTGAACGGTGGTAATTCGACTTCATGTATATTTCACGGATTGGTTTTGTACGGGGTCTTAGTTCTCGTAATAACGAAAACTAAGAGGGGTCTTCGTTTTCGAAATTACGAAAACTAAGACCCCTAAATTTACCCTTAAATTTGACCTAAAACTCGGTGGAAAGAATCTGACAGAAGAGAATTTGACAGATTAGACCTATTTCGGTCACAATTTGACTTCATATTTCGACGGATGATTCAATTTTAGGGGGTCTTAGTTTTCGTAATCTTGAAAACTAAGACGGGTCTTAGGTCTTAGGTCTTAGTTTTCGAGGGTCCTAGTTTTCGTAACACCCTTAAGCCTACCTGCAGCCAGACGTTCGTAGGGATTCGTCTGACAGGGACGCTCGATGATCCCTAAGAAAGTCTACGGGGGAGGCTATACATTGTTATGCAATGAGTTCAACTTGTAATCCGAAGCTTAGCATTTTTTAGCTTTTGTTCAGTTCATACTTCATGTAATAGTTAGCGAAACACAGCAGTTTGTTATGATTGCAATTATTTTAGTCACTTTTCAAGTAGTTTTATTGCCTTTCTTGTTGCAAGTTATTAGTTAAGAGACCTTCTGTATTTAGCTGTTAGCTACTGTTATAGTTTCTATTGTTTTGGTTGTAAATATTATTAGCTTATTGTAGCTTTTCTTTATTCTTGCAGTTTTAGTGTTACTCGTTCCCGTATTTTTTGTTTCGTCTCAATTCAATAAACTCGTAAATCTTAAGCTCACTCTGTGTTGTTCTTGCGTCGACCGTTTTTGGCCGTCTTACAAGTGGATTAAGTTTCTTAATGTCTTTGTTGTTCCAGTTGGCTTTCTACAGAACGCTCAAAGAATTTGGTAATAGAGTGAACGGAAACCTGACGAAGTCAGCTTAATTATTTAAATGGATCGGAAATGAAGTTGGCTTGTCACACAGTATATGTGATCGATCGGCCCCTTTGGCAATACCAGTAATAACGTGCTGTCTCCGTGATCAGCTGCTGACTTGGATTGAAGCAGAGCTGGAGCCGAACTTCTACCCAGGGGGTACAGAAGAGTGAGCAAGCAGGACTGGAAAGCTCTTTGGAAGTTTACAGACTTCGGTATTACGACGTCGTAATCCATTTATCAAATACTTGCTAATTGCATTCAAAAAGCTTCGTCAGTCATTCAACGAGTAGTTAGCGCAGACTGAAATTGAGGCTTGCGAGTCAGGCGAGTGTGGGAGTTCTTTTTCGGAATGGCCGCAGAGGTGAGTAATAATACGACAGCAAGCTCCAGCCCTACACCGCAGTGTCCAGCTTTCTCCGAACCGTACATGGAGCAAGTTCTCAAGTGTGTTGCCTACTCAATCATATTGTTCTGTTCTCTCGTTGGAAATGTGCTTGTTATTTGCGTGGTTCTTCTAAACAGGCATATGCGAACTGTTACAAATTACCTTATAGTCAATATGGCCGTAGCAGACCTACTCAACACGGCATTCAACATGCCTATAACCATTTCAGTGATCTCGGGCAGCCAAATCGAATGGTCTGAAAGCGTCGCTGCAGAAATTTTATGCAAGTTCATCCCCTTTAGCCAGTCTCTCTCCATTGCAAGCTCGGTGTTCAGCTTGACAGCGATAGCTGTTGACCGTTTTCTAGCGGTTATGTATCCTTTAAAACACTACATCAGTTTCCATGCAGCCTATGTCCTCATTGTGGTCGTCTGGATTGTAGGGATTGCTGTCAACTCTCCGTTTCTGTACGCACAAAAAATTATCGTGTCAGAAGAAGACGGGGTCAGAATTTCATACTGCGAAGAAATTTGGACCCCAGTTTTCGGAGAAAATGCGGCTAAAGACTTCACCATTGTTTTATTTGTATTGCTTTACGCAGTTCCACTTCTGACAATGTCTGTTCTATACAGTTTTGTGGTTTACAAACTTTGGGTTAGAAAAGAGCTTGGGAATCAAACGACCGAGAACCAACTCCGCGCCGAGAAATCCAGAAAGAAAGTTCTCAAGATGCTAATAGTAGTTGTGACTCTGTTTGCTCTGTGCTGGCTCCCAATATATATTATCCAGTTTATTCGGTTTTTTGGGTTCGAGAGGTTTCCCTGTGGACCTCCGCCTGTTTTTGCTTTTCTTGCCTACTTCTTGGGTCATACAAACAGCGTTTTAAATCCCGCCATTTACGTGATATTCAGCAGCAATTTTAGAAAGGGTTTTAGGGACGTTCTCCTTTGCCGATTTCGTCGTAGCAATAGTCCAACAAACCTTGCGCGGTACGAATGGTACCGCCTTCGGCGCAGATAACACTTCCCTGAACAGTAGAGCCTCGCCTATCGCTCTCTCTTGCTAGCGCAGGGCCTCGAAAACTTCAACGGCCTTGAGCAGGCGGTGTGCACACTGGGATTGCGATGCATTGTGGATGTAAAATTTTCAAGATGGCGGGGAAGGTCGAGAAATTTATATGCTTTATATTTCGCTAGAAATATAGTTCTTTTCTGAGAAAGTCATCCACAATTACATAACTTATAATTATTTAGGCTTTTTCTGTGAAGGAAAAAAATCAACATTCCTCATTACAATCTAAAACACGGAGCACGAAGATTCATCCTCTACGAGCATGAAATTTGAACCCGTTGTTTGGAGAGCTATAATTTCTATCGTAGTGCTCAGTGACGACAGAAACTAGTCTCAAGTGTCTTTACAAAGATTGTTCTACGCCGAGGTATAAACGCGCCCCAACGCTCCCCACTTTTAGAAATAGTTTTTTCGAATTAAAACCGACATGTTTTCATAACAAAATGTGGCCTCGCACAGACGTGACATGTCACTGGAACTGACACTCTTGTAATTACAAGTTAATTACAAAATAGTTCATTGGTTATATACAGGAGCATAAAGCCTGTGGACGATTGCACATAACAAATGTCAGATTTACGAAAAAAATATATGAATGAAAAATGGCCCACTGAAGTCTGATTGCAAACAAAAAACAGGTGTACCCGGCGACTGTTTTCTGTAAAATATCTGTTCGGAGAAGCAAAAATTACCTAGAATTTTCTATTGCTTGAGGAAGGCTAAAAATTTCTAGATGACCGTTCCATTTATGAAAAATTTTCGAAGCTTTTCTAATAAATTTCCTACGATTTTCTAAAGTTTAATTCTTGCGCATTTCACTCCCCCAGGTAAGCTATTTTTCGTAGAAAAAGGAAACCTTTATTCGAGAAAAGAATACTGAAACCCTTGTAATTTCGAAAAGACTTAAGTTGCCCTAGTATGACCGAACAGATGCAAATTTTATAGCGCTGCTTAGAATGCATTTCTAGAGATCTAAAAGTACTCAGGATACCTTAAAAAAAGGTTTTCAAAGCATTTACAAGGACACCGTCGTCGGGTGCCCCTAAAAAAAATTACACCAAGTAAAATGATGTGATGCATGTGAAGCCTCTGATAGTGTAATGAAAGCACCTGAATATTTTTTTCCCCAAAGATAAGAAATTAACTTTAAATAAAGATAAACCCTGTGTAACGGGGGCGGATATTGACATCGGGTTTCTTTCAGATCAGTTCAAATATTCAGATCAACATCGCCGTCGGAGAAACGTTTTATAGACAGAGAATCCCGAGCATCGATTCTAACTTGTTTATTATACTTGAAATTCCCGTAAAAACTGAAAATAATAATCGAAAAGCGAGCGATTACAATAGATTCTAAGATAATTCTACTGAGCGCACGTGGTATGCATGAAAACGATTACCTAGAATAACTCTAATAATATAACGAAATCACTAAACCTAAGAAATAACAATACTACTAGGACTGAGCTTAAAAACTATAAAACAAGGAAACATACCTCTTTCTCCGATAGAAACTATCTTAATGGCACACGCGTCTTTCTTACTTTCGATCCGGACAATTCTCTATGTGACACTGAAAACTGATCCGACACACGCAAAATACAAAGAAGCTTCAGATGATTAAAATAGAAACGGAAATGACGCGAGTCACGCAACGAAAAACTAATAGCTAACATTTACACCCTGTACATTTTGAAAACAGCTACCCTTTATGAAAAAAAAGTGGTGAGAGAAATGCATGAGTAGTGTCATGTAGAAGCCACCAAGCTGGCATTCTAGTCAATGGAATATTCCCATTGCATGTTCTTATTACACTTGAGGGTCAAATTAATAAATATCTCTGTTTAAGACTAGTGTGTGTCTGTGTCTGTGTGGGTGGATGTTAGGATTATTGTAATTTAGAGGAATTTTGAACAGCTAGGCAACAAACTGCTTATACACTGAGGTCAGTCAACCTATTTACCCCAAGAACACAGTTATATCAAGAGATTTGCATATATTTTGGTGGCTTGAGTTAATGCAGTTTATCTCATAGATGTACCAAAATAATTATAATTGGGGAACCGAGGCTAAGAGAAAAATAGTCGACGGGAAAGGGACCATCTGTTGTAGTTAGTTTTTTTATCTCAGGTAATTTTTATTTTTCTTTTGTTTTGGGTATTCTAATGTGTGCAAATGGAGTTCAAGCAAAAGAAAAATAACATTTAGCTGAGATAAAAAAAATAACTTCAAGATATCCAAAGTGGGGAAAAGGGGGTACTACTGGGATCCACCAAAGTAAAAATTACTAACCCAAAAGACTGTACTAAAGTATATCAACAACATGCAAGGAAAATTAATATCCGTGACTATAAAATGACAGCACTGAAATACTAATCACCATGCCAATATAATAAAATGTGAATACATTTACCCAAAAGTTTGCTCCGAAATAACACCTATGACATAACATTTGAATTAAACAAAAGTAGTTGGAGGGAGGGGGGTCACAAGAAAGGAAAGGGGTCTCCCTACATGTTGCCCCTGATTAAAGTAGATTTGTAAACATAGAAAGGATTTTCTCATTTTGAATTAAAAGAATTATTATTGTCATACAAAACATAATTGCGATGACATGTGTTTGTACATACTGATAGAATCATTCATATTAAAAAAATAAAGGCAAAGACTATGAATGTCTCCTAGGCTCAATTCTTGTAACTTAATCTGCTTGACTGTAAGAGGATTAGTAATCACAAATACTGAATGCCATTTTCAATTACAAACCTTACATTCTGTGACTCATACCAATTGTATAGAAAGCAAGGATAGTATACTAGTTTGCAGTATTTCTTCATTAGGTTTTTATTTAAGACTAAAGATCCCTGAAGAAAGTAGTGCTCAAAATTATTTATAAATAGGACACAACTTACTGTACATGTATTGATATGTTTATTTACTTTTCACTTACTTCATGTGTGATAAATACAGTAATTGTAAAGCAAATAACAAATGCAAACAGGGTGCCAACAGAGACCTAAATCCCCATAAAGCTGACTCGTTAATGTTCTCTTATAGTACCTGGCTAATGTTTTAGGGCTATCTTGTCAGAAGGAAGCGATGTATGACATTTTCAGACTGCAGACTGCAGACTGCATGAGGCAGCAAGACTGTAAATTGAACGAAACCAAAAATATCGTAATCAAGGTGGCGTCATCATTAACATTACCTTTTTCCGAGAAGTACATGTAAGGCCTAGAAGCAAATTACACCGACCTGATTCCTGAAGGAGTTGTTGGCTGTTCGTCTCGTATTGAAGAGAGCAGGATAATGTCTGCTGATGTCACAAACTCGCTCATGAATCCATAGCAACAGGCTAGCAATTTAGCCTGCATCACCGACGAAACTAAACTCTGGTTATATAAGTCTGTCTGTGAAACAAAGCCAGGATCCTAATTCTACGGGGGCCCCAACTGTGTACTAGGATTTGAGCATGAGCAATGATTGGCCTGTTAAAAAAGCCATCGTCGATTTGCCTATTTAGAAATTCAAAATGCACTTTCGGTAATTCGTCGAGTCCAGGTAGGATCTGTTCGGTTTAGATTATTTGGCATATCCTTAAATACTGCTAAGATGAAATACGTCATTTAAAAGGTGTTAAATTTCTGTGATCTATCCTAGTTGTTTTTGTAGACGTAACTGTAGTGAGCACGAAGTGCTCGCAAACTAAAGACTTTTTTTTTTTACAGAAGACTACTATTTAGACAGGTATTAATGGGCATTGCTACTTGTCATTATCAATTCACAGTAATTAAAGAAGGATAAAGAATCAACGCAATTAGTGATATGCCGGGTCAGTCAATAAAGAGTCGCGTCGATGAAGAATACCCAACAGCATCTTGGAAATAAGGCCAATTTAACTGCGCAAAAACATCAACCTTGTTCCCAGGCTAGTTTCTCACTTTCACACGACGTTATTCTAGATTTGTCGGTGAATTCTCCATGGTACCAAACAATTGTACTCTTAGTGATATGCCTAAAGGTAGGTAATCACGATTTTGACAATTCAATTTCGACTCCACAAGGTTTAGATATGCAAAGGATGCGCTTATCACTTTCTGTTTCACGCGTGTATCTTGTGATACTTGTCAGCTCATAAATGATATGAAATGTGCAAGTGCATCAGCTGACTGTGTAACTTTATGCCATAGTGCAACAGTGATTAATATCACGATATTTGACTTAAAGCCACTTCCTACTTTTCTCGATAACTTCATTATGTTTGGGTCTTCACTTCCCTGTATACTTCTAAATAAAAAAAATTGTGTGGACTACTGAGTTTATCATCGTCTGAACTTGAAATTACGATTACGACAGTACCCATTGGCCCTTTTGTCGTTATCTTATCACAGATAAAGGAACTAGAAGTGATAAGGATATTAGAAATGATTTTACGATTTTATACGTACGTGATCCCATCATACAGATGGTATACGATGGTATACGATCTTCGCAATCTCCAAACCAATTACATGCCTGTCCTTGGTCCTAATATTCCTTTCTTGGTCCTCTATGCGAAGAACGAGGTGGCCGCCAAAATCGTCCGAGTTTATATGCCGATTGTGAGTAATCCCCGGGAGGACTCCGATATAAAAGTGAAGGGGCTGCTAGTCGGAAAATTAATTTAAACCCCTAAGGGAGGCTAATGTGGGTGTGGCTCAAGCTTAAACTGACCCCTAAAGGAGATTTCTGTCAGGTCAGCGTCACGGCTTTTTTTTTATTTTTTATTTTTGCAAATATCTTTATGCACAGCCCTAAGCGATACCTGAATGAGCATATTTAGTTACTTTCAGTCCCAAACAACCGAAGTGAGACCAAAATCTGCAAACGACGAGCACCTACGTCACTTTTGTATGGGATTCCTCCTGGGGAAGCAGATCACCATCTGTGTATGTTCCACTTGATTTTTTCGTAAGGTCAATGATTACCATCTTGTGAGAGTATTGGCTCTGCTTCACTTAGTTAAGACTTCGATGGATGACAGGTTTCATGGTGAGAAGTAATGGTGTCCTGACATTCGTGTACTTTTAACAGTTGGGAAAAACCGCGTGAACTTCCATACTTTATTTTCTTGTTACTTTCACTGATCGATGTTGCACGATTCGAAATTAATGTTGAAACTTTACTATTTGCGTGTGCCAACTTCTTTATTAACTGGCTGCGATACAAAAGTAGCCTTGGACTCCGGACTGTCTCTTGGAGCGTGAAAACAAAAGCTGACCACTCTTAATAGGAAGAAACAGTCAGTAAAAGGAAGAAACCTTCTAATTGGTCTTTTGATCAGTGGAAGGTAAATAAAGGAAAAATAGTAATTCGCCGTTCACAGTCCAGTACTATCGCCCCATGTTAGCGAATACAAGACAGTCTTGGATTCTGGATCCCATTCCATGGATTCTGGATTCCAGTCTTTTCCAGTGGAACTTGGATTCTAGATTTCATTCGCTAGTTAGTGGGCTACTTGAGCTCTATTCTGGATTCCAAAGCCCTGGATTCCGGATTCAATAAGCAAAATTTTCCCGGATTCCGGGTCCTACAAACAAAAAGTTTCCAGATTCGGGATTTCGGATACCCTTACATGGTGCGAAGTACTGGTCAAACATTTTCTGACCTGTTCACGCATATATAATTGAGCAGTAGGAAATTTACTACTTTTCTTCTAACGTTCGATTTTATAATATGATGGATCGGAGTAACTTCTGGTCAATGCAGCTTTTTCAGACGGGACCACATTTTAAGCTAGAAGAGGTTTGGTTCGGAAAAGGTATTTTTCCGTCTTGACATAACAGACTTCACAAGAATGTTCGAGGCAGTGGAAAATTAAATGAAGCTTGGAAAGGTATCTTTTACTTGTTGAACTAATTTTTGAACAATATATATCATTGGCAAAGGGGAAAAGGGAATTTTAATATAGTTTTGGTTGAAAAATGAGGCATATCTTTCTTAAAAGTGGCAAGTATTTAAATAACTGAGGATTTTACTGTGACAGCAGCCGGTATCGTCACGCAAAGCAAATTGAACATTTGCCTAAATTTGAGTTGAAACCTTCATTTCTGAATCGCGTTGTGCCACAAGTTTCATTGCATAACTTGACAAAATAGCTATTAATCTTTAACTAAAACATGTTTTTAGGTCTAGTTTAGGTGCCACTTTTGAGAATCTTCTGATGATTTTTAATTGGATTAGGGAAATAAAGACGACCAATTTTTGCTGATTACCGAAAGATAATGCCTAAATGGTATTGGAACAGTAAGAAGACGTAATATGCTTCCAAATAATTGCAAATAGTCTAGGATTTAATGACCCGAAGGACTTTAGAACGATCGTTAAAAAACCTGTATAAAAGGGACTAAAATTTGCATATTTTAGCCGCTAACGGTCGTCCAGCAATGAAATGCTGGGAATGGCAATAAAATAAACAATTTCCTCATTCTAACTGCAATTTCGTTATTAGGATGGATAGTAGTATTGATGGTAAAATTATAAGGGGAAAGTTTTTTCTTGTCCGAAATCGAGTGGAACGTTTAATAATGAACTGTTTAATAATCTGGCAATTTTGCTGTCATTTATTCACATATCACAAACTTCTTCCAATTTAAAATTATGCGTGGTATTATAGCCAATCAGAAACGGATAAATATTTAAATTAATAAGAGTGTAATTATTATGATCTTTCTTTACACTGATCAAAGTTACTAAAGTTTATATATTGTTCTTACAGGTTAACAGCTACGAGTAACACAAAATCAAGAAACAGTAACACCAACGACGAAAATAACTCAACATCTGGTTTACCGTATTCACCGCCGAGTTTGTTGCTGTAGTAACGGTGAATCTCCTTGCCATCATTTTATTTTATAAAGAACAGAAGCCTTCGCACTCGCAGCATGTACTTGGTTATAAGCTTAACCGTGGCGGATATGTTGGTTGGAGTCCCATCCGGGGATTTTTTTCAATTTGTTCTCGACCGGCGATGTCGCCTTGTAAAGTTGAATTTATCCTGGGAAGTTTCAATTTCATTAAGTAGTTTTAATTATTTCTTTGCCCTTGTCTCCCTGACAAACATTGCTGTGATTTCTTTAGAGCGATTTCACGCCACGTTTCGTCCATTTAGGCATCGACTTATCAAGAGATGGGTCTACGTGGTGGCAATTGTTGTTGTCTGGGTTTTTTCCTGTAATTGTTTCAGTCATTTGGGTGACAGAGTTGCTTTATTTCATTGGATATCACCTTTACATACTGGAATCCTACTGTCTTTTGTGTTTAATTGTTACCTTCATTTCTTACACGTCCATTCTGTTTAAGTTTCGTTTCGGAGCTCATCCCCAGCGCCATTGTGCAGATTGTGCAGCTGCTTTAAGACAAAGAAAACTAACTGTCACATTGTTTATAACAACTTTAGTATCTTTACTGTTGTGGCTACCATACAATATTTTTCTTTTTGTTGACTGGTCAACTGATATTCTCAATTCCCTTTCTTTCAAAGAATATTTTGATTTGATTTATTCATTGAGTTTTTTCTTTTCTGCAAACTCCCTTGTAAATCCCATTTTATACACAATCAGGATGCTAGACTTTAAAAGAGCTCTGCTCTCATGGTTTAGACGTCATCAAAGAGAAAATGTTGCTATCCCGCTAAATCGTTACTAATGGGGGGATATCGGAAAAATTAATTAGTCAACTTTGTAATAAGTAGCTTAGAATTAAACAAATGGAAGACACCCTTAATGCACTTGTGTAAAAACATACATAGAAGCACATTTACAGCTACATTAGGCTGTATGTTAAGGAAGCTGTACGGAAGAAATAAAGATTAGACGTGATGAAGAAGTGCTTAAAGTGTGTTCAATTGGGAACTCTGTTTTGGTGGAATGTAATGTAGGAAGATAAATGAGGATATGTTAATACTTTGCTGGATAGCCATCGCGGAAGGCAGGAAAACCATACAGGAAAGATACCCCTCATCAACTGCCTCTTTCGAATAACCGCGTCAGTTTGTTTACATTCCCGTTCGTCTCCACTTCACGCTGATTGGCCGAAATCTGACATCTCAGTCGACGGGGNGTTGACTGGTCAACTGATATTCTCAATTCCCTTTCTTTCAAAGAATATTTTGATTTGATTTATTCATTGAGTTTTTTCTTTTCTGCAAACTCCCTTGTAAATCCCATTTTATACACAATCAGGATGCTAGACTTTAAAAGAGCTCTGCTCTCATGGTTTAGACGTCATCAAAGAGAAAATGTTGCTATCCCGCTAAATCGTTACTAATGGGGGGATATCGGAAAAATTAATTAGTCAACTTTGTAATAAGTAGCTTAGAATTAAACAAATGGAAGACACCCTTAATGCACTTGTGTAAAAACATACATAGAAGCACATTTACAGCTACATTAGGCTGTATGTTAAGGAAGCTGTACGGAAGAAATAAAGATTAGACGTGATGAAGAAGTGCTTAAAGTGTGTTCAATTGGGAACTCTGTTTTGGTGGAATGTAATGTAGGAAGATAAATGAGGATATGTTAATACTTTGCTGGATAGCCATCGCGGAAGGCAGGAAAACCATACAGGAAAGATACCCCTCATCAACTGCCTCTTTCGAATAACCGCGTCAGTTTGTTTACATTCCCGTTCGTCTCCACTTCACGCTGATTGGCCGAAATCTGACATCTCAGTCGACGGGGAGCCACAGGGAAATTGGAGGCGGAATTCAAATTCCAAAGGCGTTGTTGTAAGCTCTACTTCCTTTTCCCGCCCCGCCGCCAGAGCGCCCCGGAGAGCTTACTTGCAGGCTAATGGAGGGACTGCTGTTATTCACCAGGAAAGCATTTATAAAAACAGTGAGGGTTGGGGGGGAGGGGAAACGACTGCGTAGTAAGATATTACTGAATTTTTACATCACCAATTATCCATTATTTTTCTTCGTAGTTATGCACCTATTCGCCGTAAAAACTATAACTAAACTATAACTAAAGTATCAGTATCAATAAAGTATCAGTTAATTTGAAAGTGCAATAAGGAATTCTTTTTAGCCAATATCTTAAAAAGCGAGCCGCAAATGTTGCTCAATTAAGACAAACTAGCCGGCGTAGCATGGCGGTTTTGGTTGCTGAGTAATAAAGGCGGGCGAGGGCAGAGAAACCGCGAGGAGATTGGGTCGGGAGCAACTGAAAAAAGGGTTTTATTTTTCTCGCGGCTGCGTCGCTCGTTCTCGCGTGCTTCGGCGCTCGTGCGCCCGGCTCGACAAAACCACCTTGCTACGCGGGCTAAAGACAAACAAGTCAGACTAAATTGGCCCGTGTCTTGTTCCAGTCGTTCATAACACCGGCACGGTCTCTATTTTGTTGTTGAATTTGAACATAACCGGCATCGTGTCATTAGCATACACCGTTGCCACCCCTTACTAGTAACATGCACCTTTACACCTGAACAAAATACTACTAATAACAACTATAACTGAAAATGGATATTAATGAAGTACTGTCTACTTTTTAATCGAGCCACAGTTGTTGTGATGTCGGAAACTGCCAGTATTAATATAATATTTGCTTTTTCTCAGCGCTGGAGTTTTCATTATCTTATTTGGCCTACTGCAAGAGTTATCGTAGCTCTTCTTCGTCGGCTTCATCGTAGTCGTTAAGGAAATTTATACCTCTGTGGCCTGTGACACTGACGATATGTTCTGAACTTACAATCTTTGCTTTCTTTAGCTTCCTGACTGTTGTTTTTCTTGCACCATGATTCGTAAACTTTTTCTCACTTTCTTTAAGGCTAGTACCAGCTGCGGATACTTTCACTATGTATGTTGTGGTATTTTCGCGCATTGGTTTAGTTTGGACCAGATGTTTAAATTTTCGGTTTCGTTTGCAACTGAGGTAGAAAAAAACAACAACAAAACAACAACAACAACAAAAAAAGACCATCGCATGGATGTTTTAATAGAGGTCTTCGCTCCACGAAAGACTCAAAGAGAGCAACAAATAACGCACATAACGTGAAATCCTTGTTGTTATCATGGAATTGTATCCTTGCTCATTTAAATGCCTGAAGAGTGTAGCTGTCATGGTTTGCGTGTGGTTGCAACCGTTTTTGTTCTTTATTTTTTTACTTTAGCGTAGTCTGTTATAAGTAGCTTGTTTTTTAGTTTCTCTGGCTCATTTTCCTCGACGAGTTTGTTGACGGTATTTTTCTCTTAGCAACGCATTTTCAATACATTTAGCCAGAAAGACGTACTTTTTTAATGTGTTCGGGTTTTTGGAATATTTTTTTTAACTTTTCTATTGTTGTTTTGCTTGCAAAATTAAATCCCGTCGTCGTCTGCTGAAAACCATGGCCATTTTCTAGAATTTTTGTTGTTGAAACAGCTCTAATCTGATTGGCTCTTGTTGGTTTCTTTTGTGTTTTCAGCCAATCAGAAAGCATTTGTAATTTGCACTCGTGTTACAAGTTTGCACTCGTGTTACACATTTTGCACTCGTGTTACACATTTTGCACTCGTGTTACAGAAGAGCTGCACTCTTTTCTCAGCCAATCAGAATTGAGTAATTTTTTCGTGTATATTATTAAGCGCTGTAAATGCACTGCCGTTTAAATAGGAATCAATCACAAAAATAGAACGTTTTCTCAACTTTATAAAGCCATAAGGCAGACACAAATGACAGATTTCCCTACCCTTTCCTATACTTCAACGAGTAAAATCCCTACCCTTTCTTATTTACCTGAAGCCTTAAAAAGGCACCCCTTTCGGGCGGAGCCTTCCCCCCTAGGGGGGCCAATAACTGTCCACAATCATTCAAAACCTATAGCTCTCTAAAGCCAAGGTGAAATGAATGTTTTGCACGAGACAAATGTACTGTCCCAATTAGTAATAATCATGGCACATTTTTTTAAACCTGTCACAATTTGTGAAAAAACCCATTGCACTTTCTAATACCTATTACAGTAGGCAATAAGCCGTTTCGCTCTTATGGAGGCTGAAATTAAATTTGTAGTAAGTGTCCATTGCACTTTGCAGTAAACTAAGTAGCCGTAATTTATGATAATTCCAGTGCAGTTGGTAAGGAACGTTTTGCGAGTGTTCCAGTTTATAACTGATTCGACATGCATCTGAGTCATCAAGCACATGCCAAAACAGGAAAGGTCACGTGACTGACCGTGTCGTTGTTTCCGTGTGAGAAAAAATAGAAGTGAGACACGTTTGGCCAAAGAAAATTACTGAAATTTTAGCAAATTACAAAGTGTGTTAGAGAGTTCAAAAACTTGCGTCAGCTTTTTTTATATTTCAAAGTGCAACGTGGCTTATTACTTATCACAATTATTATTAATAACGTGCAATCTGAATGACTGTAAAGAGAAAAAAAAAAAGAGACTTTTTAACTAACGCACTGTTAACGAGTAAGAACCGGTTTGCCCATCTGCATTAGGTTGGTCGCTTTTAAAGGTTAAAATGTAATTAAATAACCGATAATTAATTGCTTTGCATCATTTTATCTACAAACTATATTTCTATTGCTGGAAGAAGTTTTCACTCAGAAACGGCCTCGTATGACGTAATATCTCGTAACCATAGTAGCTGACCATCACTAAACTCTTATCGTCTAGGAAAATTATATATTAATATCCCAATTATTTACAAAGTTAGCAAGAACAATCTGCTATTATTGCTGTTGTAAATTTAAATGCATTTTAACCCTCGGACGTACAAGGGGTTGGGGGTGGTGTTCGCCACCCAATCCCCTCCCCCCCTCTTCTTGAGTTTTTTTCTGAGTTTTTTTTCTCCTAGAGGGTAAAACATCGATCAGCACCTGATGTTTTCAGTACATGTTCGCTTATCCTTCGCGCGCATTTTTAGTCAAGTTCAGTAATGGTTTCTATAGTTACGAGATATGACGTAATAAGTAGAAGGTGGTCAAGCCATTGTTTTCTTTTCTTACCTTTTTTCAACAATAATTAAATCTTGGGGCTAAAATCATGAAGAGTGCTTATTTATGTGTTTTTGTTCGTGTCAAGCACAAAAATATTGCCATTTCTCGCGGTTTTATCCTGATTTCTAAATCTTGGTTAACTCCCAATCACAGGCCTCCAGCATCGCCACCATCCACAAAATATACTTCATCTTGTTAAGAAGATCAAAGGCTTTCCACTGAAAGAAAAATCGTTTCGAAATACTGGAACATATCAAAAACTCTGGGGAAGGGTTCCATTCATCCCCCTCCCGTGTACCACGGTGGGGGAATGAATTTGCGTGTACGTCCGTGTAGAAGGAGCGTACATTAAGAAAGCTGAATAACTGCTTTGATTCTATTAAGATTAAAAATATCGTGTAGCTTCTAGTTCTATTGAAATTTTCAAATCGTTTTGATGCATTTTAATTAGTTAAAAGAAAAGCTAAAGACATTTCTGGACATGACGTCCAAATTAGTATGAGTGACAAGACGAGACGCCTGGCTTGTCTGGATTTAAACAGAAATTTCAAAGATAGAACAATAATAAATGATGATAATGGCGATAATAATTCATGTAATGGTTTAATTCAATAGCGCGAGAGTGCTTCATTTAAGCAATAGAAAACGTTTTCTGTGTTTGCATAGCCTGAGATAAACACGAGAGGGGTTGGGAGAATTCGAGACAGTTATGCAGACTCGAGACGA